CTATTAAACCACACAACACAGCAACCACACGACACAGCAACCACACGACACAGCAACCACACGACACAGCAACCACACGACACAGCAACCACACGACACAGAAATCACATGACACAGCAACCACAGCAACCACACGACACAGCAACCACACAACACAGCAACCACACGACACAGCAACCACACGACACAGCAACCACACGACACAGCAACCACACGACACAGCAACCACACGACACAGAAATCACATGACACAGCAACCACAGCAACCACACGACACAGCAACCACACAACACAGCAACCACACGACACAGCAACCACACGACACAGCAACCACACGACACAGCAACCACAGCAACCACATGACACAGCAACCACAGCAACCACACAACACAGCAACAACACGACAACACAGCAACCACACGACAATTCAACCACACAACACAGCAACCACACGACACAGCAACCACACAACACAGCAACCACACGACACAGCAACCACACGACACAGCAACCACACGACACAGCAACCACAGCAACCACATGACAAAGCAACCACAGCAACCACACAACACAGCAACAACACGACAACACAGCAACCACACGACAATTCAACCACACAACACAGCAACCACACGACACAGCAACCACACGACACAGAAATCACATGACACAGCAACCACACAACACAGCAACCACACGACACAGCAACCACACGACACAGCAACCACACGACACAGCAACCACACGACACAGCAACCACACGACACAGCAACCACACGACACAGCAACCACACGACACAGCAACCACAGCAACCACATGACACAGCAACCACAGCAACCACACAACACAGCAACAACACGACAACACAGCAACCACACGACAATTCAACCACACAACACAGCAACCACACGACACAGCAACCACACAACACAGCAACCACATGACACAGAAACCACACGACAACACAGCAACCACACGACAATTCAACCACACGACACAGCAACCACACGACAATTCAACCACACGACACAGCAACCACACAACACAGCAACCACACGACAACACAGCAACCACACGACACAGCAACCACACGACACAGCAACCACACGACACAGAAATCACATGACACAGAAACCACACGACAACACAGCAACCACACGACTATTCAACCACACAACACAGCAACCACACGACACAGCAACCACACGACACAGCAACCACACGACACAGCAACCACACGACACAGAAATCACATGACACAACAACCACAGCAACCACACGACACAGCAACCACACAACACAGCAACCACACGACACAGCAACCACACGACACAGCAACCACACGACACAGCAACCACAGCAACCACATGACACAGCAACCACAGCAACCACACAACACAGCAACAACACGACAATACAGCAACCACACGACAAAGCAACCACAGCAACCACAGCAACCACACAACACAGCAACAACACGACAACACAGCAACCACACGACACAGCAACCACACAACACAGCAACCACACAACACAGCAACCACACGACACAGCAACCACACAACACAGCAACCACACGACACAGCAACCACACGACACAGCAACCACACGACACAGCAACCACAGCAAGCACATGACAAAGCAACCACAGCAACCACACAACACAGCAGCAACACGACAACACAGCAACCACACGACAATTCAACCACACAACACAGCAACCACACGACACAGCAACCACACCACACAGCAACCACACGACACAGAAATCACATGACACAGCAACCACAGCAACCACACAACACAGCAACCACACGACACAGCAACCACACGACACAGCAACCACACGACACAGCAACCACAGCAACCACACGACACAGCAACCACACGACACAGCAACCACACGACACAGCAACCACACGACACAGCAACCACACGACACAGCAACCACACGACACAGCAACCACACGACACAGCAACCACACGACACAGCAACCACACAACACAGCAACCACAAGACACAACAACCACAGCAACCACACGACACAGCAACCACAGCAACCACAAGACACAGCAACCACACGACACAGCAACCACACGACACAGCAACCACACGACACAGCAACCACACGACACAGCAACCACACGACACAGCAACCACACGACACAGCAACCACACAACACAGCAACCACATGACAATTCAACCACACGACACAGCAACCACACGACACAGCAACCACACAACACAGCAACCACACGACACAGCAACCACACGACACAGCAACCACATGACAATTCAACCACACGACACAGCAACCACACGACACAGCAACCACACAACACAGCAACCACACGACACAGCAACCACAGCAACCACACGACACAGCAACCACACGACACAGCAACCACACGACACAGCAACCTCACGACACAGCAACCACACGACACAGCAACCACACGACACAGCAACCACACGACACAGCAACCACACGACACAGCAACCACACGACACAGCAACCACACGACACAGCAACCACACGACACAGCAACCACACGACACAGCAACCACACGACACAGCAACCACACGACACAGCAACTACACGACACAGCAACCACACGACACAGCAACCACACGACACAGCAATCACATGACACAGCAACCACAGCAACCACATGACACAGCAACCACACGACACAGCAACCACACGACACAGCAACCACACGACACAGCAACCACAACACACCCCTGGATCCACTTAAACTTAACGCATTATTTATTGTCGTCTGTATTTGACAAACGACCATTCAAGCTCCTGTATGATAGTTACATTCAATTCGAGTATTTTTACCGAAGAAAAAAAACACTAAAAATCCTTAAGCAAAGTAGGTTAGTTTTAATTATGTTAATTAATTAGTTTAATTATGTTTTACATTTTCAGTGCATTCAAAAGTTTTTGTTTGGTTCTTTTATTTTCTACAAGCGAGGTTACATCCGACTCAAAACATTTGCGTTCTATTTTGAGTCGTGGCTTACAGACAATTATCTGCCCTCTCTAGTCAACACTTAGACAATATCTGCCCCCTCTAGTCAACACTTAGACAATTATCTACTCCCTCTCTAGTCAACACTCAATTATCTGCCCCCTCTAGTCAACACTCAGACAATTATCTGCCCTCTCTAGTCAACACTTAGACAATTATCTGCCCTCTCTCTAGTCAACACTTAGACAATTATCTGCCCCCTCTAGTCAACACTCAGACAATTATCTGCCTCTCTCTAGTCTGTTGGAAGTTGTAGTCTCATTTGTCTGTCTGTTAATCCGTTCACAGCTTTGAAAAAGCATCAACAAGAGTATTCTAGGAAACAATAGAAAATTTTCTTCCATTTCCTGTCCCCCCCCCCCCCCCCGTGTTTGGCTAATTATTGATGGGCGGAATGAACAGGGAATTCTAGAACTCTCTAGAACTCTCCATCTGCCTGGGACGTTACAGACACCGGATGTTACATCTTCGGAAGTTTCCGGTTAAACATTCCAGTACTACACGCCAAGCTACACGCCTAGCTACACGCCCTGCTAAACGCCTTGCTACACACCTAATTACACGCCTAGCTACACACCTAATTACACGCCTAGCTACACACCTAATTACACGCCTAGCTACACACCTAATTACACGCCTAGCTACACACCTAATTACACGCCTAGCTACACACCGAATTACACGCCTAGCTACACACCTAATTACACACCTAGCTACACACCTAATTACACGCCTAGCTACACACCTAATTACGCCTAATAACACACTTAACTGGAACATCCCTTATCGTTGCTACCTAAAAGAAACTAGACAAAGGGGAGGTGATCAATGTATCTACTTGTTTCAATAATAAATGCCCTGTTAATGTTACTCCTAGCATTTTGGTACATCTTCTAAGTGAGACTGATACAACCTCTAAGTGAGACTGGTACAGCCTCTAAGTGAGACTGATACAACCTCTAAGTGAGACTGGTACAGCCTCTAAGTGAGACTGGTACAACCTCTAAGTGAGACTGGTACAACCTCTAAATGTAAGATTACAGAGAGCTGCACGGTACAAGGTGGTTCACACACACAACAATATTCAAACACACACACACACACACACACTCAGACTTTAAATGAACTTGACCTTGTGAAACAAGTGACATTAAGCAGTTGGACCCGAGGGTCACACTTGTTACCACGTTATATATATATATATATATATATATATATATATATATATATATATATATATATATATATATATATATATATATATATATATATATATAATCTTAGACTTTCCTGTGGAAATTGATTTTTGTAGACTGGCACAACCTTATGAATATTCTAAGACTATTATTGTATGTGTGTATGTATGTGTGTATGTATGTGTGTGTGCGTGTATGTGTGTGTGTAATATCTTGGCATCTACAACTGGGGGCGGGGGCTCAGGGGATCTTATTTAGTTACTGGTGGGTCGTCTGATGTGGGTAAATGTAGCGATCTACAGACTGACGTGACAAAGTACAGACTGACGTGACAAAGTACAGACTGACGTGACAAACTACAGGCTGACGTGACAAACTACAGACTGACGTGACAAAGTAAAGACGGACGTGACAAACTACAGACTGACGTGACAAACTACAGACTGACGTGACAAACTACAGACTGACGTGACAAAATACAGACTGACGTGACAAAGTACAGATTGACGTGACAAAGTACAAACTGACGTGACAAACTACAGGCTGACGTGACAAACTACAGACTGACGTGACAAAGTACAGATTGACGTGACAAAGTACAAACTGACGTGACAAACTACAGGCTGACGTGACAAACTACAGACTGACGTGACAAAGTACAGACTGACGTGACAATTTACAGACTGACGTGACAAAGTACAGACTGACGTGACAAACTGACGTGACAGACTAACGTGACAAAGTAAACCAAGTACTCACTGCGGCTGATCCACTGTGGGCTGGCGATGCTGACGGCCATGAAGACGAGGGCCAACAGACTGACGAACAAGCCAAAGAATCGGGCCCGCACAAACAGGAAGTGCTCCCAGAACTCCTGGAGAGTGTGCCATTGTTCCGCCGTCAGTTTGACCTGAGCTTTCAGCCCGAACTTGTTCTTGCGGCTCCTCTCGATGACCCTCATGGCGTGCACCTGCTGCTGCTTGTGGCGCCTCAGCTCCTTGAGGTCGTCTTCAGACAGGTACCTTGCCTCTAGGTCAGGGTGGACGAACTTCAAGCCCTCCTGGCGGGCTTTCTTGACGGGCGTTGACACGCGAACAACTTCCGTGTCGGGCTCGGCCGTGTCCGTCCCCGCGCCGATGCGCTCCATCTTTTCTATGCGGCGTCGGTAGCTGGCCCGGCGATCACGTGACCACCTGGTCCAGGCCGACTCGGTGCTGACGCCCAGAAACTTGGTGCCGGAGCTCCTGTTGGAGTTGTGACTCCTGTTGGAACTTTTGCTGCCCCTTCTCTCCCACTCCTTGTGGATACTGTCCAGGTTCAGGCCCGGACCGTCCGGTGACGTCATCAGCTGTACGGTGGGGATCGGGCCCATGGGTGTAGTCGGCACTTGGAATTTGGTGTAAGGCGCACTCCGCGAGGCTGCCTGTTCTCCCCCTGCCCCGGGTCGGTCACGTGGGAGCGGCTGCACGTGATTTCCAACGCCAGCTCGCCTAGTAGAGTGTGACGTGTAGCCTCCGTCAAGCGCTGGTGGATAACCTCCCCCCGCCACGCCGTTCACTCCTCTGCTGGCTTGGTGAAATAAACGATCATAATCCATGTTGCCTGGCCCTGCCCGTGGCGTCACACTTTCGGCGTCGTAAACAGAAAACTTATCGTCCTCAGAAGGTCTGCGTCTAGCACCCGCTGACTCCCTCCTCGGGTCCCTCGATGTTGCGTGACGCCCCTCCAGGCCGTCGGTCTGACGTTGCTGCCTCTGGGCACCCACCTCGTCTACCCTATCTCGTCCATCCCTGGTCCGTCTGATGTCCCCAGGACGTTGAGCCGGCTCACTGCCTGCCCTCGCCTCCCCTGCCCTCGCCTCGCCTAGCCTCGCCTGACCTGCTCTTGAATGGCTTGACCTAGTTTCGTATCTACTGTCGTTGCGTTCAATACCTGAACCGTGTGAGTCACCGCCACGCCTAGCCTGTGTCTGGCTCTCACCCCCGGGCCTCTCCCCGGCCTCCACTGATTGTCTTGGATGCTCGACCACAATTTTCCGGGAATTCTCAATGAAATCTGTTCTGGATCTTCGCTGAGCTTCAGAGCGACCTTCACCTTGAGTGGGCTGCAGCCTCTTTCTAGTGTCGATGTTGAGCTGGCTGCTTGGCTCTAGCACGGGTCTGGGCTTAGGGCTCCCCCCTCGGGCCTTGGTGGTCGGCTCAGAGTCAGAGTTGAGTCTCGAGTCCTGAGACTGACTCTTGAGTCTCGAGTCCTGAGACTGACTCTTGAGTCTCACGGTCTCGAAACTTTTCTTCGAGCTCCCCGACTCGTGGTACTCGTCCGAGTTGGTCCGCGAGTTGCTGGACAGGTCACGTGACCTGCGGACACTTAGCTCTGAGCTTACAGCGATAGCTCCGTCCGTCTGGAACACACTGTCTCTGCTACTGATGCCGTCGATGCTGTCCCTGCTCCCACTCAGCTTGGTGTGAGCAGCTGGCGCGCTGCTCGTCTGACTCGATGTGCGCTCTTTGCTGCTAGCTCGAGGGGCGTTTAGGTTGGACCGTGAACTCGACACAAAATTTGTGGCAGCGCCCTCTTTGCTGTTAGTTCGAGAGTCGAGGCGAGCAGAAGAGTGGGGTACAGCGCCCTCTTTGCTGTTAGTTCGAGAGTCGAGGCGAGCAGAAGAGTGGGGTACAGCGCCCTCTTTGCTGTTAGTTCGAGAGTCGAGGCGAGCAGAAGAGTGGGGTACAGCGCCCTCTTTGCTGTTAGTTCGAGAGTCGAGACGAGCAGAAGAGTGGGGTACAGCGCCCTCTTTGCTGTTAGTTCGAGAGTCGAGGCGAGCAGAAGAGTGGGGTACAGCGCCCTCTTTGCTGTTAGTTCGAGAGTCGAGACGAGCAGAAGAGTGGGGTACAGCGCCCTCTTTGCTGTTAGTTCGAGAGTCGAGGCGAGCAGAAGAGTGGGGTACAGCGCCCTCTTTGCTGTTAGTTCGAGAGTCGAGACGAGCAGAAGAGTGCGGTACAGCGCCCTCTTTGCTGTTAGTTCGAGAGTCGAGGCGAGCAGAAGAGTGGGGTACAGCGCCCTCTTTGCTGTTAGTTCGAGAGTCGAGGCGAGCAGAAGAGTGGGGTACAGCGCCCTCTTTGCTGTTAGTTCGAGAGTCGAGGCGAACAGAAGAGTGGGGTACAGCGCCCACTTTGCTGTTTGTCTTAGCACGCCCCACAACAACGAATGATCTGTCGTATTCTTTATCCGCCTCGGCTGTGCTGCTTTCTCTGCTGCCACTCGAAGAACGTAACCTTCTCCTGGGGTCCGCCTCTGCATAGCTCCCCGCAGACGAGGGCCTAACGCGGCTTTCCTCTTTCCTCTCTGGGGGTTCGGGGCGTCGAGGTGAGCGCCTGTGCCGCTGCTGCTGACGCCTCTGTCTTTCCTGCAGCTCCTCTCTCGCCTGCTGTGGCGTCAGACTTCTCCCTCCTGAGTCCCGGGCTCGACGGCTGGTGGACCTGTCGCTGTCAGGTGCCAGGTGTTCCACAGGTGGCAGGTGTTCCACAGGTGGGCTCACCTGAGGACCGGCCTCGAGCGTCAGGTAAGTGTTTGGCACCGCCGGGTTCTGGCGCTTGGCTAAACTGGCGAGTCCGTCCCCCCGGCCCCCACCCGGACTGTTGCCGCCTCTTCTTCTCGAGCGCTCCCACAGATTTGCCCCTCTGTCATCTCCGAAGTGACTGTGGACGCTCTCCTGACTAGAGAAACCGGAAGTGACCGTCTCGCCCAGCCCGCTTGTCTCTGTGGAACTCTGCGCGTGCAGACGACTCAGGCTGGGCGCTCTCTCCAAGCTCGCCAGCACGGGGTCGGGGCTAAGAAAGTTGGCGCGGGGGTGGGAGGAGTGGACGGTGCTGAACGCGTCCTGGGACTGGCCCCTCCTCAGCCTCTCAGCCGAACCCTCGCGGCCCAGCTTTGACATGGCCACAAGTTAATTACATAGCAATTAGACAAGGGGGGGGGTCCTTGTTCTATTGGCTCTAGGTCAACTCTTAATTGCTTGGTAGCTGATGACGTCACTAGCGTGCTGAAACCCCTCCCCCTGGCCTGTCTTCCAACTAGAGCCGCGAGAAATTCTTTTGACCAGAAAAACAGCAAGGTTATCTCATCAAGAAATGTTATCTCATCCAGAAATGTTATCTCATCCAGAAATGTTATCTCATCCAGAAATGTTATCTCATCAAGAAATGTTATCTCATCCAGAAATGTTATCTCATCCAGAAATGTTATCTCATCAAGAAATGTTATCTCATCCAGAAATGTTATCTCATCCAGAAATGTTATCTCATCCAGAAATGTTATCTCATCAAGAAATGTTATCTCATCAAGAAATCTCAGATTAAAAATTTAGTCCTGTACTGCTGATTGCCGTGATGCGATGGGAGGGTTGGCGTGATGCTAGGGAGGGTTGGCGTGATGCTATGGGAGGGTTGGCGTGATGCTAGGGAGGGTTGGTTGGGAAGTTTAAAGTGGCTTTAGTCCAAACATCGGCGTACTTGCTCTTTGATCATTGTGGTCATCACGTGGTCATCACGTGGTCATCTCGGGTCGTCTCGTGGTCGTCTCGTGGTCGTCATGCTCAAGCTTCTGTATAGAAAAAATGATCATAGTCGATCAGAGAAAAGCTAATGGAAACATCTTATTCTGAATGTTTCGAGAGTTTTCTGTGACCCTTGACCTGACAACTTTTGTTGGACAATTCTTTCGCTATGGCCTATGACCTACGACCTATGACCTACGTCATATGACCTACGACCTTTGACCTACGACCATCCAGAGAAGAAATATTCGCCCCAAGTACTCGGCGTGTTCTTGTGTGTACCTGAGCTCACTGTAACAATATTAGTGGGCGGTATCGATCTAGTTGTTAAGTGGTTGTTTTACTTCCTTACGTTCAAGCAGGCAACAATGAGGTTTTGATGTCGATACTGTCAGTCAGGATCGATATTTGTACGCGAACCCAACATTGGAAAATTAATATTTAATGACGCTTCAGAGAAACTTCATTTTAGCTGAGTTGTAGCTGTGTGTTGTAGCTGTGTGTTGTAGCTGTGTGTTGTAGCTGTGTGTTGTAGCTGTGTGTTGTAGCTGTGTGTTGTACCTGTGTGTTGTAGCTGTGTGTTGCTGTCGCTGTGTGTTGTAGCTGTGTGTTGCAGCTGTGTGTTCTAGCTGTGTGTTCTAGCTGTGTATTGCTGAAGCTGTGTGTTGTAGCTGTGTGTTGTAGCTGTGTGTTGTAGCTGTGTGTTGCTGTAGCTGTGTTTTGTAGCTGTGTGCCGTTGTAGCTGTGTGTTGTAGCTGTGTGTTGTAGCTGTGTGTTGTAGCTGTGTGTTGTAGCTGTGTGTTGTAGCTGTGTGTTGTAGCTGTGTGTTGTACCTGTGTGTTGTAGCTGTGTGTTGTAGCTGTGTGTTGCTGTAGCTGTGTGTTGTAGCTGTGTGTAGCTGTGTGTTGTAGCTGTGTGTTGTAGCTGTGTGTTGTAGCTGTGTGGTGTAGCTGTGTGTTCTAGCTGTGTTTTCTAGCTGTGTGTTCTAGCTGTGTGTCGTTGTAGCTCTGCGTCGTTAGGCCTGTGTGTTGTAGCTGTGTGTTGTAGCTGTGTGTTGTAGCTGTGTATCTGGTGGATGTGTCCAGTTGGGCTTAGGGGCTTACATTGTAGGAAAGACAACTCCCACATATATAATAAAGAAATTTCAAATAGTTACTTCCCTTAGTTCAAAATGTCTTTTTATCTTTGATTTTATTGCGAGTATATGCAAATTGTACTTATCAACCCCCTCCTCCCCACTCACCCATCTCTTTACCGCCTAAGAAAAGACACCTAGCACCCTTTTGATCCTAGCTCCCCACCTCCACCCCACCTCCACCCCACCTCCACCCCACCTCCACCCCACCTCCACCCCACCTCCACCCCACCTCCACCCCACCTCCACCCCACCTCCACCCCACCTCCACCCCACCTCCACCCCACCTCCACCCCACGGAGGGTGTGTAGGGGCGTGTATGTATGTGTGGGAAGGGAGGGTGTGTAGGGGCGTGTATGTGTGGGAAGGGAGGGTGTGTAGGGGCGTGTATGTGTGGGAAGGGAGGGTGTGTATGGGGCGTGTATGTGTGTGTGGGAAGGGAGGGTGTGTATGGGGCGTGTATGTATGTGTGGGAGGGAGGGTGTGTATGGGGCGTGTATGTGTGGGAAGGGAGGGTGTGTTAAGTTGTTAGTGTAATCGGCTTTCATGCGGGTGGCACAGGTTCTAGACCATTACGTCAATGATATTTTTTTTTTCAATTTTTATTTTATTTTTTAGATGTGAATGATAAAGTTGCCTATCTGAACTTGGCGGGATACAGGGCAGGTGAAGTAGAGTTCATCCATCTGTTTCTTTGTCCTAAGCATATGAAGGGATAGTGTGGTCAGAGACATGCTCGGCTGGAATCGTTTTTTAAACGATAAAAACATGTTGTCTGAGACTTGACGGGACACTGGGCAGGTGAAGTAGAGGAGTAGGTCACCTGTGACGTCAGTATATGAAGGGATAGTCCGAAATCGGTGTTTTCGGTGCTTTTAAAAGATAAAAAACATATTTTTGAATGTGGGGGTCTGTTTTTTTGTGACGATAAGTGACACTGCAGTAGCGTAGTGGGGGGGGGGACATATGTCCCCGGGCGCCGACCTTAGGGGGAGCCAAAATGGGTAGGAAAAATAAATTGAAAGGTTGAGGGGGTGCAAATCGAAAGTTTGAGGTGGGGGGGGGGTGCAAATCGAAATCTTGAGGGGGGGATGCACATCAAAAGTTTGAGGGGGGGGGGGGTTGCAAATCGAAATCTTGCGGGGGGGAGGGTTCAAATCGGAAAGTTTGAAGTTTGTCCCCGGGCGCCGGGAAGGGTCGCTACGCCTCTGAGTGACAGACGTGATGCTTTTTGATGGATGACCCCCGAAACCCACAGTTATCCAATGGATGACGGGTAGTCTAGTTCTTATATAAAACAACATGGGATGGGAACTCCATTTTAAATACTTAAAGTTTTTAAAATAGAATAAAATCTCTTAGAAAGAAGAATTGCACACCAAGTGAACTCCAAATGAAATGTGCATAATAGTGCGCAATATTATTCGCGTAAATTACTACTTCCGGTCAACGGAAATTACTCAAAATTTGAAAGAATGTAGAAAATTAGATCTTTTACTTACATGTGAAATTTTATTTATCTGTCTGAAATAGTACTCAGGTTATATGCTTTTGAAAAATTCTAAGTAAAAAAGTCCAATTCCGGCTATCGGAAATCGCTCAAACGTTGATACGGATCTAAGATTTTGATAAAACACTTATATATGTAATTTCATCAACCTAGCTGTAACGGTACTCAAGTTATCGTGTTTACAGACACACAGACACACAGACACACAGACACACACACACACACACACACACAGACATACGGACAAGATTGAAAAATTATGTTTTTCCGTATCAGTGAGGTGTAAAACGTCGAGATTTGCAAAAATCTCGATTTTTTTTCTTTTTTGCACGATTACAAGACTTTCTCTATACTTCGTATATACGAGAAAGTAAAAAAATAGCTGTTGAATAAAGACTACACTCGTGACAGACAGACAGACAGACAGACAGACAGACAGACAGACAGACAGACAGACAGACAGACAGACAGACAGACAGACAGACAGACAGACAGACAGACAGACAGACAGACAGACAGACAGACAGACAGACAGACAGACAGACAGACAGACAGACAGACAGACAGACAGACAGACAGACAGACAGACAGACAGACAGACAGACAGACAGACAGACAGACAGACAGACAGACAGACAGACAGACAGACAGACAGACAGACAGACAGACAGACAGACAGACAGACAGACAGACAGACAGACAGACAGACAGACAGACAGACAGACAGACAGACAGACAGACAGACAGACAGACAGACAGACAGACAGACAGACAGACAGACAGACAGACAGACAGACAGACAGACAGACAGACAGACAGCGTCCCTCGTTACCGCCGGGTTTATTTAACGTGACTTTAGTACATCACAATTTTTTTTGTTTCCTTGTGTTTTTGTGTGTAAAATATTTTTTTTTTGGAGCACAATTGGCTCATAAATCTGTTCGACCATCTAAATTCTCGAGTGGACCCATGATAAGATGATAAGTTGATAAGATGATGTTGATAAGATGATAAAGTGATAAGATGATAAGATGATAAGTTGATAAGATGATAAGTTGATAAGATGATGTTGATAAGATGATAAGATAATAAGATGATAAGATGATAAGATGATAAGATGATAAGATGATAAGATGATAAGTTGATAAGATGATGTTGATAAGATGATAAGATAATAAGATGATAAGATGATAAGTTGATAAGATGATGTTGATAAGATGATAAGATGATAAGATGATAAGTTGATAAGATGATGTTGATAAGATGATAAGATGATAAGATGATAAGTTGATAAGTTGATAAGATGATGTTGATAAGATGATGTTGATAAGATGATAAGATAATAAGATGATAAGATGATAAGATAGGCACTTCTTTGGTTTTATTTACACTTATTGATAGACGTACACAAAAATTGCACGTATATTAAAAATGAGTTTTTGACGTCTGGTCCATCTAAATTCTCGAGTGGACCCATGATAAGATGATAAGTTGATAAGATGATGTTGATAAGATGATAAAGTGATAAGTTGATAAGATGATAAGATGATAAGATGATAAGATAATAAGATGATAAGATGATAAGATGATAAGATGATAAGATCATAAGATCATAAGATCATAAGATCATAAGATCATAAGATCATAAGATCATAAGATGATAAGATAATAAGATGATAAGCTGATAAGATGATAAATTGATAAGATGATAAGTTGATAGGATGACAAGATGACACGATGATAAGATGATAAGATGATAAGTTTATAAGATGATAAGATGAAAAGATGATAAGATAGGCACTTCTTTGGTTTTATTTACACTTATTGATAGACGTACACAAAAATTGCACGTATATTAAAAATGAGTTTTTGACGTCTGGTCCGTATAACCGCGATAACCGAGGGATGACTGTATACAAAATATCTCATCATATTTAAAATTATATAATGCTGCGATGTCTTTGGAGACATGGGAAAATAATAAAA